CCCCCCTCCCTCCACTTCCCCCTTCCCGCGGGAAAGGCTCCCGCATTTGCTGCTTTAACACGGGGCGAGGCGCGGACGCAAAAGGCACCGCAGGAGGAGGGGGCAGGGGCAGGGAGTTTGCTGGAGGGTGGATTGCAGCAGCAGCAGCAGCAGCAGCAGCAGCAGCAGGAGCAGCAGTGGGGTTGCTGCTGTGCGCTGCGGGAGTGCAGCGCGGCGAGGCAGCTCCGCCACGGGCTCTAATTAGCGGCCGCTGCGGCCCACCCGTGCCCCTTTTATTCCTGCCGCCGACCCGACCGCCGACCCGCGCCGAGCCAATTAATCAAGTTGTGATATCGGAGACTGCCGCGGCGGCGTCGGCCCGCGCCGTATACCTCCGCAGTGTGGCGAGGAGGGGCTGCAGCGGGGCGGCGGTGGTGGCCTTGGTAGGTGCAGCCAGTAGTGCAGCGGCGGAACTGCGCGCGACCCTCCACCACCACCACCACGACCACCAACACCGCTGCCGGCTGCAGCTGCATCTGCTGCAGCCTCTCCAAAGTTTCGCCGCCGCGGTGGGGTTCCTGCCCGCGGCCGCCGGGTGTAGCTCCCACCGGGAGCCTCCCATTCCCATGGAGCTCGCTTTGGTGCGCCCGAGCGGGCCTCTCTCTCTATGGCGCTGGCGGTGCCAATCACGGGCGGGGGACGCGCCTGCACCGCTGCACTGATCACCGTGAAAGCGGCCGAACAAAAGGTGTGCGGTGCGTTGCGCGGTGTGGTGTGGTGTGGCGTGGCACGCCCATGACATCCGCGCGCCGGCGCGCCGGCCGCGAGCCACGTGCCTGCGAATACCTTTGTGCTGTTTTGCGCGCCTGGCGAGGTTCACGGCGATGCGTTGCCGACCGCCGCCGCCGCCGGCGTTGTTGTTGGCTGTTGTGTATTTCTCGCGGTGCAGGTGATGAACACCCCGGCCCAGCAGCCCACGAGGCTCGCCTGCAAGGCCCTCCCCCGGGGGGGAAGCACCGCTGTGCTGCAGCTTCTGAGGAGATGAACCCGACCCGGGGCGCCTCGCCTTGCATCGCCTTGCGCCGTGTCAGGGAACACCCCACTAAGCAGCGCGCTGCGCGTCTCGTAATTCGCCCTTCGAGGAAGTTGTGTTGATACAGCAGCGTGACGAGGAGGCGGTGCGTGGCGGTGCGTAGTGGTGCGTGGCTGCGAGCTGTCATCAGGTGGCTCTGGCCCCGCCCACCAGCCCCG